TCACCAAGACTCAACGCTCTTGCCTTCTCAACACACGAACCCTGCAGAGTCTTGTTCCACATGAACACGAAACCAGCTCTGAACGCTTCTTTCTGTTGCCAGTCTCGACACACTCCACTCCCGTTTTGCAACAGCATCGACGTTATGTCTGAAAGCACACCCATTTCACTTCCTCTCTCAGAAGCTTTCTAAAGTTCCTGGCCGCGCAGGATTAATGTTCAAGGTCCTCAGAACCATATTCAGAGTCCTCTGTGGTTTCGATTTTAGCATGTCTCTTATTTTTGCAGCCTAATCTAACCTTTCTTTCCTTCCTTCCACTCTTATCCAAAAACACATTCCAAGAATGAGGGGGAGGGGGTCCCGATGGGGAGAAATGTTCATCTGTTTCCTACATACAAGGGTATCTCATTAAACTAGAGCATTTACCACTTTACTAGACAGCGTGGGGGGGGGGGGGGCTGGCCTTGGTCACTTAATACAGTGGGTCCCAACCAGGGGCGAATCTGCTCTGCTTGGGGGCACTGGCCATGTCGGGAGACATTTCTGGCTGCCACAGCTGGGGGTGTGCTCTTGGCATCTCGGGGTAGAGGCTGAGCATCTGCTGAATACCCCACAATGTGCAGCACAGCCTGCACAACAAAGCACTCCCTGACTGAAATGTCCACAGTACCACTGCTGGGAAACCCTGAACCAACTATAAATGTCTGCAAATACATGTCAAAACAGGAGTGATAAGTGTGGGGACACTGGCTGGCATCACTCAAGTATCAATGATGTGGGTAACACTGTTTTAAGAAAGAAAGTGGCTAAAAAGGCCAAAAAAGGTGTGTTCCATTTTAATAGTTGCATACAGTTAAGAAAAATTATCAAATACTTCTAAATAAGGCAAAAAGAGGGTCTTTCAGTCATGATGGAGCACTCTCTTTGGCCTGCCCACAGACTATTTAATTCTCTGGGAAATTTAACCTTTTCCTGACTCATCACTCATTATTGCTTTGGGCCTGGACTGTGATGTTACATGTTAAAATGTAGATTTTTGTCCAGCAGAGATGCCAATGATCTTGGTCTGGTAGAAAAGATATCCCTGGAGGTTATAATTTCACTGTCTATAAGGTACTAGCCAATTTATATAGAACCAAGCAATCCTATTTTATGTTTTTTCAGTAGTGCTGATACAAACTCAGATCTTCACATGCTCTCTGAACCACTTATATTTCTGATGGTCCCTCATTCATAAGTTACCTGTCTGGAGGTCATGCTTGTAACTCTAAAAAAATACCTACACTTCGGCAGTTTGTAGGACCCATGGAGATGTCCCTGAACTCACCAGCTTGGACCCGCTAAACCGAATGGCCCGTGAAGGGCAGCTGGCGGCCATGTGGCCCAAGCACGTTCCACTTGGCACCCAGAGTGACCGCGGCAGAGAGAGATTTACCAGCTCTATTTCCCGGCTGCTCTCTTTTCTCTTGGTTCTGGGCCACATGTCCCTTTTCACAGTGGCTCAGGGACCAGTGGATGCAGATGATCAGGTCAATCTCAACTGTGCCCTCCTATAAACGTGAACCTGGTCTGCAGAAACCTGACTTTACGGCCTGACCATGTGGACGGCAGGGATCTGGTCAATGAGAGACTGTGTGGAAGCCTGGCGCTAGTCTTTCTGCTCTTCTGTCATGCAAGGGCGGGTCTCGGGACCACCGAGAGAGCCTTTCCCGGCCTGCTTCTAGACTCCTAGACTCCGGGCCAGTTCTGTGTTTCTGCTTTTCTGTCATGCAAGAGCGGGTCTCGGGACCACCGAGAAAGCCTTTCACGGCCTGCTTCTAGACTCCGGGCCAGTTCTGTGTTTGGGTTACTTCTGACCTGTGGTTAACATTGTGGGGAATGAAAAAGGCTGAAGGCTCTCTGCATGTTTGTGTCTAAAAATAAAAAAGTCAAGGGGGACATCTGTAATACTTTCAACAATAAAAAATAAAAATAAAAGACCAAAACAAAAAGAATCCATCACAATAAAAATAAACAAATAAATAGAAATAAATAAAAATGAGAAAAGTCTTTTTCTCATGGTGTGAGTGTGAAATATAGTCCTTCTCAAGGGATATTAATAAATTAGATTGCAACGTTTCTTAAAGAACCTCTGTTCTAATTGGTTTACAGAGAACAAGCTTTTACATAAATATATATTTCTAGAATTCCTAGAAAATAAAGAAAATAAACATCTGATACTTGTATTCTGTTAGCCCTTCAAGGACCCCACAAAAACTCCAAAAGTCACAGAAACGGATACTTGAAAAGAATTTTTATTTATGAATCCAGATTGAGCCCTGGCGGGTTTGGCTCAGCAGTTAGGGCGTTGGCGCAAGGACCAAAGGATCGTGGGTTCGATTACTGGTCAAGGGCATGTACCTGAGTTACAGGTTTGATCCCTGGCCTCTACTGGAGTAATTTTGGAGGCAACCAATTGATGTGTCTCTCACACAATGATATTTCTCTCTCTCTCCCTTCCACTCTCTCTAAAAACCAATGGAAAGCCCTGGCCAGTTTGGCTCAGAGGTTAGAGCGTTGGCCTGAGGACCAGAGAGGTTCGGGTTTGGTTCCTGGTAAGGAAACATACCTCAGCTGCAGTTTGTCCCTGCCCCGGTTGGGGTCGTGTGGGCGGCAACCACTTGATGTGTCTCTCTCACATTGATGTTTCTCTCTCTCTCTTCCTCCCTCTCTCCCTCCCACTCTATCTGAAGATAAATGCAAAAATGTCCTTGGGTGGGATAAAAAAACAAAACAAAACAAAACAAAAAACAATGGAAAAATATCCTCAGGTGAGGATCAACAACAAATAAATAAATAAAATGTAACTCCTCACAAATTTAAAAAAAAAAAAAAAGGATCCAAATTATGTAAAGTGATCGAATGTGATTTGATTATTTTAATACTAATTTTAAATTAGATATCCTAGCCTGGCTGGTGTGGCTCAGTGGATTGAGCATCGTCTTATGGACCGAGAGGTCCCGAGTTGATCCCGTCAGGGCACATGCCTGGGTTTTGGCTCAATCCCCAGTTCGGGGGGCGGGTGGGGGGGGGTAGGGGGCGGTGCAGGAGGCAGCGATTGATGTTTCTCTCTCATATCGATGTTTCTATCTCTCTTCCTTCCTCTCTCTTTAAAACATCAATAAAAACATTAAAAAAAAAAAAATTGATGCCCTTTCCTTGATTTTATTAACCTACCTATTATAACAAAGTAATAAATTCATTATCTTAGGTTTTTTTTTTCATCCTCACCCAAGGATTTTTTTCTATTTATCTTCAGATAGAGTGGGAGGGAGAGAGAGAAACAGCGACGTGAGAGGGACACATCAACTGGATGCCTTCTGTATGACCCCGACCAGGGCCAGGGACAAAACTGAGGTACGTGCCCTTGATGGGAATCGAACCCGAGACTCATTGGTCCGAGGGCCAACACTCTACCGCTGAGCCAAGCCGGCCAGGGTTCATTATCTTAGTTTTAAGACTATCAGGGCTGATACTGAAACACTGTGAACTGAACATGCAGGTTCCAGGATGGATCAAGACCCCAGACAGTCAACTGGTTGACAGGGAGCTCCGATCCAAGACCCAGACAGTCGACTGGTCGACAGGGAGCTCCGATCCAAGACCCAGACAGTTGACTGGTCGACAGGGAGCTCCGATCCAAGACCCAGACAGTCGACTGGTCGACAGGGAGCTCCGATCCAAGACCCAGACAGTCGACTGGTTGACAGGGAGCTCCGATCCAAGACCCAGACAGTCGACTGGTTGACAGGGAGCTCCGATCCAAGACCCAGACAGTTGACTGGTCGACAGGGAGCTCCGATCCAAGACCTAGACAGTCGACTGGTCGACAGGGAGCTCCGATCCAAGACCCAGACAGTCGACTGGTCGACAGGGAGCTCCGATCCAAGCTGCCACATCACAGCTGCCATGTGCAGAGAGTTCAGACGTGAGCGCACACGGCCCTTCCTCGTCCACTAACGAAAATGACTACTTCTGTCAGCACTGAGACTGAGCAAGCCTTCTTGAAGTTGAAAGGAACACCTTAAAACAACAACTAAAAGAAATAATTCAGCTTCTTTAAACAAAAGGATTTTCCTATGTCGTTTCCATATGGCATATTTAAAAAATATTCTTTAATTAATTATATAATAATTCCCCACAATTTTGTTCTTGAATTGCAAGACTGCTAACTTCACACAATCACATTAATTTAGCAAAAGGGCAGCACAGAACAGGCTGTCCATGATTTAATTAAACCCCACAACACTAGCTGGGGTAAACAGACAGGGAAGGAAACTAGTCACTTTTACTCCAGCAGACTCAGGGTGAGAACCCCTTATTTCAACATTCTGGCATAACCCCAAAATATTAACCATACAAAAGACTGAACAAACCACCATTTCTTAAGACAATTTTCACAACCATAGTGAGTTAAAAAATACCATTCTTGGAAATGCAAAAGGCCACCAACCTCCTTTCTGGTAAAATCAAAACAAAAACTCTATGTCTCCACCCAATATGATATCTGCGAATTATTTCCTCCATGAACAAATCCACTGTTCAAGAATCCATTCGCAAAACCAGGGACCAAAAAAAAAAGAACAAACAAAAGAAACCAGGTACCAAGTGTTTCTAACAGAAACAGAAATGAAACAATCCAAGGTCGACTCAGACATCTGAAGTCAGAGCAGTAACAGGGCCACTTCTACTAGAATCGTATTTTCTTTCTTCTCCACTCTTGCTCTATAAATATGGAAGTCAGAACTCAAAGTTGGGTAAAAGACAATCACCAACTCTTCCTAAGACCCCCTCTCTTCTTTTTCTTCTCCTCAGTTTCTGTTGATGAAGGCTGAGCAGTCTGCTGCACTGCTCCTGACAAGTCCCCAGATGGTGCTCTTGGAGGTCCCTGGCTGGGCCTCCCAGTGGCTCCTCACTACCTAAAGTTCACGACAAACACACTGAAGAGCTATGCCATTTACCTTCAATCACTTTGCTTTTGTTTGTTAATCTCTGGGACAGGATCCTGGCTCACCAGCTAACTTCAGCACCCAACTCCCCGCGTTGGGCCTTGACCACCTCAGCACTGCAGCATCTCCAGAGGCCTCCCGCGCCCATCTCTTCACCTAAGTGGAAAGGAAGAGTTCTACTTCACGCAGGAACAATGAAATACCCCCTCCCCAACTGTGGTTCTCAGAATCACCCTCAGAATTCCTCTGTATCCAAGATTCTGAGCTCTGAACTCTCTGGCTACACCCTCCAGAACTGTCCAGTACTTACTGAGCTTGTCCTCTATCGGCATGATTCCCTGAGTCTAGAGGGGACACAGTTTCAGGTCTGGTCCCCTATTCACAGTTCATTATGCCCTTCACCTGCCTCCTCTCCAGGCTGAACTCTCAGGCCGTTAGTCACAGAAAGTAGAGGATAAGTCTAGTATGTTTTTGGACTGTTCTAGCCCTTAAGGCTGGCTATTCAGAAACATTTCCTGAGCCCCTGTTTGCCTTGCTTAAGTGCACATCAGGTTCTCTTAGTCCTAGCAGGTTGGCTTCACCAACACCTAGAGTGAGTGGGGCAATCATCACCCACTTGAGAATTTCCAGATCAAGTCATACTATAAAGCCATGCCATCTAACCTTCCTTGGCCCTTCCTTGAGATCCACAGTGCTTTCATGTTCTCCAATGTACTTCCAACAGCTTCTCCGCATCGGCCCTAACACATGCCACGTCTTCCGGCTCGCACCTGTCTCCAGGCAGGGCTGGCGCCCTACTTCGCTGAGACAGCACTGCAGGCCAGCAGGCCTCCGCTGTCCTAGTCCTTGAATGAGGCGCACAGAAGCGCATCTGCACTCACCCTGGCTCCTGCCATCTGAGAGCGGCCCTAGAAAAGCAATCCAAAAGCTGAATCTGGTCCACTTGACACGTTTGGCTTAGCGTGCATGGTTGATTTGTTTTGTTTTCTTTTTTTAGAATACGTATACTTTAAAAACAATGTAGTAATGCAAAACCTTGATTGGGGTATAATTCACAGCAATTGTGCAATACTAAGCATGGGACCCTACCTCTCCCACAGGGCACAAGCTCATTAGTTCACCAGTTCCTTCCTACTGATCAGCCACTGCCCTGGCAGTCTCTTGGCCTAGTCCCAGGGAGCATCGGAATTTGTGGCTCTTTGCTCTAAAGCAAGAGTTCTAACTTCTCACTCCCCAGGGCTGAGCTCTCTTCCTTCAGCCTCATTCCTCTCACCACACCCGACATCGAGGGTCCCACCCTGCTTTGCATCTGCCATCTCTCTGGAATGAGGCAGCATCTCGCAAGTACTTCCACTTCCTCTCTGAAAGTCATCCACAAACTTCTCTGTTTCCTTGTCAGCCACCAGCCCCTCCCACTGGGCCCTATGGACAATGCCCACTGCTGGTTTTCCTCACTTCTAGACACTGCCTCTCTACGCCTTGCAGTAATGTTGCACTGCTATACAAGTGGCTAAATACCACCAATTTATACCACCACCAACCAGCAATGGCCCACACCAAGCAGCCAATCCTGGAGACATAAACACTGACAACAGGGGCATTTCTTTGGAAACATAATCCTACGGCATCACTCTTGCTCTTACAACCCTTCCAAGCCTCCCCAATGTCCGCTTGGAAACATCCACATTCTTAGCAGGCTCTACTTGCCTGGTGCCCTGGCCCTCACTGCCTCTGCCTGTTTCCTCTGCCCCTCTTGCACTGGAGGGGTCTGTGACGAAACAGCTGCTCACATCGCTGGGACGTAGCACCTGCTCTCCCCTCGGGAAAGCTCTCACTGTCGTCTAGCACCCACCTGGGCAGAGCCACGCCTCCTTTCCGGAACCACTGTGACTCCGCACACACTAAGCTCTGTTCCTTGAGGTCAAGAGGCAGAAGTCAGTATACTTCTTGGCACATTTTCTCTAGATGTCAGCTACGTGCTCCAAGCAACAGGCAATCAAGATATCCACCACCCTTCTGACATCAGGGCCTTTTGACACCCGTACTTCCTACACCCAAGTCCCAGTAAAAACCTTGTCACCTCACTCATGTGTAGCTGTGACTTTGAACAATGTCCTTTCCAATGTTGGGTTTTCTTGCCTCCAAATACAGATTTTGAGACAGATTCTTCCCCTGTCAAAATCCTCACTGGCTTCCTAATGAACACGGCAATGGCCTGAGCTGGCACTGGGTCCTCTGAAGGCTTCATCAAGCCGCTCCAATGTGTTTTCTGGCTTCCTGGCCTTCGCTCACAGTCATCTCCACCTGGGAATCACCCCCACCTGGGAATCACCTCCACCTGGGAATCACCCAGGCTCTCCAAGTCCAGCTCAAGCTGCTTCCCCAACAAACTCCCCTTTGACAGAAGTGGCCACTGTCGAAGCACCTGTGCCTGTCGCCGTCTCCCAGGATGTCCTCGCTGTACCCACTGCACCTCTGCTAGCCCTCGGAGCCCTAACTAAACCTCCATGTGCTCCTCTCGCACTGGTTACAAAGTGGCAAATTAACATTTTAAAAGCAAGAAAACGAAGTAACCCGCTTGATGGGACCCAGAACAGTTGCCCATATCTTATTTTAATTTTTTAAGCTAGTTTAAAAAATTCTTTCCTCGAAATCTTCCTTCTTCTAAACCTTCTCCTTCACAGCTTAACATATTGTAGATGCTGAAGTTTGCTTTCGTGTTCTTAATTTAAAAAATCAAGTTAATGGTCTTCTCTCCCTCAAAGGAATGCAAAACAAACTCCAAAACGAGCTAACAAAAACAAAAAGCCCTTGAGTGTGGTATTCAACTCTCACCCGTGAGTCTTAAGGGAAAAAAAAAATTCTTACAAGTGGGAGGGTTGGCTTATGAGTAACACATCACAAAGATAAACGGGCAGGTGACACATACTTTCAAGATACTGTAAGACACACCTTTTCCAATTAGCTCACGCTGAACTGTGTGCAGGGACAGGCAAGAGAACTGGAGTGGGAGGGTCTGGCAAGACAGGCAGCCCTTTTCTGTTGTGCAAAAGCAGCACTTTCCACGCTTGGGGTGAGCCCAGAGTAAAGCTGAACTGGAGCAGGCAGTGCCACAGAGAAGCGAGACTGCTCAGGCTCGCGGAGGTTTACGCAGGGAACCGGGAAAGTAAGGTGGGGCTGGCTCAGTAAACTGTAATCAGAGGAGGAGTTTAGAGTGAACAAGACAGGCAAGAGGAGCCCTGGAAGGTCCCAGGGCGGGAGAATGGCTTTTCGTGAGGATTAGTCTAATGCAAGTGGTACAGGAAGGGCGTGAGCACAGCAGAGAGGGCAATGAAGTAAGGGGTGGGGGCGGCACACACCAAGGACGAAGGTCTTATTTGCAGACAAGGTGATGGGCAGGAGAGCAATTCATGCAGGTAGGAGAGAACACGGCTCAGTCAGGGCAGCGTTTTCATCCTGAGAGCTGGGAAGAAGTTAGATTAATTGTCTCAAGTCAGACAAAGGGTTCAAAAAACGAACAGGAAAGCAAACCTGATTCAACATCGACGCTGGTTTAAGCGAAGCTGTGGAGGAGTCACACAGTTGTGTTCTGACTCCTCTGCGCACGTTAAGCACAAGCATCTAAGAAAGTCAGGAGTCAGAGATCCCTCAAGGGCGCCGTGAGATTTCTGGAGGAGGAAGCCAAAACAGGGCTCCCCCTCCCGCCAGAGGGCTCGTCATCCGGGAGACAGGGCTCTGGAAACGAACTCGAGAGACTTGGATCCGTGGGGTGTGTGTGGGGGGTGTATTCTGCTGTTTTTTGGCTGGGGAGGGAGGGGAGCAGCTGACCGCCCCAGTAGGTGTGAGACTAAAATGCTGATCTAGAGAGAAGGTGAGTCACCTCCTCAAAAGTTTCGGTTTCCCCAGCTGTTAATTTAAAGAGAGGACGAGAAGAGGAGGGTAAAATCGACCTCGCTGGATGTTTAGGGTCTGCATCACATACTCCCCCAGTGCTCAGCATCAGTTCTCGTGGTCGTGGCACCTAGCATCAGTACAAGACGCTACCTTGAACTCTGGGCTTGAACATCGCCACCTCTCCCGGATGTCCCGAGTCCGATTCCCAAAGGGGCCGCAATCCCCGGGCGGTTCAGGGCCCTGCAGAGGAGGCCTGGCCCCCGCGCCGGCCCCGGCGGCCACCAGCCTGCGCGCCCCCGGGCGCGCGGAGCGGCCACAACAGGCACCCGTCGCGGCGCGCTCGCCCCGGCCTGGAGGGTAGGTGCTTCCGTCGGCGCCGCTCCACAAACGGGGAAACTGAGGCGCCCCGGGAAGAACCGCTAGCCCGGAGTCGCATGGCTGGAGAGCGGGGCGCGCAGGTCCGCGGGCGCCGGCGGCTGCGCTTCCACCGCCGGGAGGGCGGGGTGGGCGCCCCGAGCCCCGACGAGCGCGCCGCGGGCCGGGGGCCGGAGGGGGCACGGGGGCGGCGGCCACTCACCTTGGCGCTGTGCACCGCCTCCTGCGCCCCGCGGAGCTGCAGCCAGATGCGCGCGGGCAGCGGCTCCTCCGCCCCGAGCGCGCCGAGCACGGCCAGGCTCACGCCGAACAGGCCCTCGATGCGGCCGCGGCTCCGCTCCAGCAGCGCCGCCTTCTCGGCGGGCGCCGTGAACTCGTCCAGCACCAGCCGGGCCGCCATGGCGGGCGCGGCCTCCCGCGGCGACGCCGGGGGCCGGCGACGCCCCCTCAGCGTGCGGCCGCGGCGCCCGAGCCCGTCCGGCGGCGTCGGCCCTCAGGCCGCCTCGCCCGCGCCCCGCCGCCCGCCCGCCCGCTCGCAGGCCGGGCTACACCATCCCGCCACGGCCGCCACGGCTGGGCCACTGCGGGCAGGAGCCCTCCGCCCCTCCGTCGCCGTCGCCGCGGGCCGGGCCCCGCCGCGCATGCGCCCCGCCCGCTGCCGTCACTGAGGCTCGCCGCCCACCTGGGACGGGGCGGGGGCGGGGCGGCGGAAGGCGACGTCACCGCGGCCGCCATGTTTGTTGAGGGCGAAGCCCGGCTCCCGGAGCGGCGTGGGCGGCCTTCTTTGGTGAGGGCACGGCGCTTCCGGGAGACCTGGTGGGTGGTGCCGTTCTGGTCTTACAGGTGGGGAAACCGAGGCACGGAGCCGGGCGGCCGGGCGGAGTGGCACAAGGGGTTCGGCGTGCCTTCCGAAACTGGGTTCCGGAGATGGAGTTTTCCAGCTGAACTGACAGCAGAGGGTGCTGATAGAGGAGGCGGTTAGGCGACAGGGCAGGTAGGGATGTCACCGCGGCGGGAAGTCCCGGCGCCTGGCAGAGGGCAAAACCCGGAGAACATGTATTATAGGCTAGTCCGTACCCCGGGGCGCTCCTCCTCCAGCATGTCCTAGGCCTTCCCTCAGACACCCCCCGACTTCCTACCCTAACGTGCCCCTTAGACGAGGAACGAGGGGCTGGACAACAGCCTCCTGGGGCTCCCGTGCAAGCCCTCGCGTGACCCCTCCTTCAAGCATGCAGCCCTCAGGACAGCGAGGTTCTGACCCGCATCAAATAATCTTAGGAAAAGCCTGGAATCTGTTGACCACAGA